CGACGGGCAGACGACGCATGGCTTGCCAATGGACAGTGGCAGCCATGCATTAGCCTCACGTGCTGGAAGATCGCCTCGTCGCGCCGACCTCAGCGACTGCTGCGATGGACGGCGGGCGAACGACCCCGACTCGAGATGAAATGCTCTTGCCACTCACTGCCCAATCGCCAACCAGTGCAAGACCATTGGGCAAAATGCAGAACTTTTTCGACATTACGCGCGCTGATTGGTGAATTCAAATATTCGGATGAGATTGGCCAAAATGCAAGCATGTCGCCGACGCTTCAGTTGATCTTGATGTCCACAGCCCCAGACATCAACAACAACCTCCGCCTTCACCTCTGGCAGACGCTGTGGCAGCACTACGAATAGCAACCACGAGGTGCAAATTAGCGAAGCTAATATGTAGTGGTACTTGAGAGCGACCCATCCACAACGTGAACAAAACTGTTGCGATACTACAGTACGCCACCGTCGTCGTCTCGGCTCCTTCGAGCCACGTCTTGTAGTCGGTTTGCATCATTATTGTCATACCAAACACACATCAAAGATATGCACACGTACGTAGCCGACGTGGTCCTTGGTGTAAAACGTGGCGCGGTTGTACAACGCCACGGCGTCGACAGCTTCGGCCGTGTCACCGCCGTACCCGCCCGCAACGATAAGGACACCATTGTACACAGCGCAGAACGGCGTGACGTTGGTGAGCGACGGGTCCGGAAGCACTTTCGCGTCCGAGCCACCTCGATGCGTGGCTCAACAAGGTGGGCGTACGCAAGGCCGAGCGGGTTGAGCTGCTCGAGGAGCGCCGAGTACGTCCCGATCGGGTCCGAGTTGTACGCGCCGTTGATGACTGAGAAGGGGCTGAGGCGGATACCGACGCAGTCGGCGCCGAACGCGGATACCGACGCAGTCGGCGCCGAACGCGGCGACGACGGCCTTGGTGACTTCGACCGCAAGGCGAATACGGTTCTCGAGCGACCCGCCGTATTGCTCATTGCGTTGGCTGTTGAGCGTATCGTTGAGGAACTGCTCGAGGATGTAGCCGTTGGCACCATGGATTTTGACGCCGCCAAAGCCCGCCTCAATACTCAGCGTCGCCGCCCGGACGTAGAACGAGATGAGCTCTTGCACCTCGTCGGTCGAGAGCATGCGCGAGACAACGCGCGGCTGCGGGCCGTTCGGCGTGTTGGCAGGCGGACCAAGGAACTGGACGGCCGCCGACGACGGTGGCGCGCGCCCTTCCTTGTCAAAGACCGGGTGCGACGAGCCGCCGACGTGCCACATTTGAAGAAAGATAAAGCCACCGTTGGCGTGCACCGCGTCCGTGATGGGGCGCCACGCTGCCACATGTCGGGCCGAGTAAATACCTGGCGCGGCAATGTTGGGGCGGCTTTCCGGGCAGATGGGCGTGGCCTCCGAGATGAGGAGACCACCCGGCGACGTGCGCTGCGCGTAGTACGTGGGCATGGTCGGTGTCGGGACGCTCTGGCCGAGTCAAAACCCCCTTAGTGCATAGACCACCGAAATTCGATAAAACCCTTCCCGTAATTTATCACCCGAATATTTTATAAATTGGTCGAAGGCCCGCCTTCGTGGGCTTATGTATTGATGGTTTTAAAACAATACTATACCTCCGCATAATTTATAATCCCGTCAGCAGAAGTGTGACCAGGAGCAATATTTTACAATCGGCGCCCAGCATGAACTGGTCGGTGTTCCCGTCGACCCACTACGTTCTCATGCCACGGGGCTCGTTTGGCATCGCCGGGTTCTCGTACGGCCGCGTGTACAAAACTGACCATGGTGAATTCGTCGAGCCCAAGTCCTCGGGCCTGCTCCAGTGGTCGCAGGTCCAGATGGAAACTCTCAGACACCAGTACAACGCGACCGGCTTCAAAGTCAGCGATTTCGAAGCCGAGAAGGGCATTGCTACGTACGTGCACGCCCACGTCATCTTCTCGCTCAAAGAACAGGCCGGTCAATCAGTGTGGCGCTACGGCATCGTGACTGCCTTCGATGGGCCCGCGATGACGTTGACCGTGCTCCTCACGATCGGAGGTGACGACGTGCTCATCCCGTTTCGGAATGCGCGTCACGTGGACATGGTCGCGTATGTGCTCCGACCGTTCGATGGCGTGTCAACAAACGGCTACCCCGTGGACGATGTCATCAAACGAGTCGCCAAAGTGTCAGCGGCGTACCGCGAATCCTTGAACATCGAAGCGGCCGCCAAAGTCGCCAACGAAGAGCTCACACGCATGGACCCCAAGAGCGCCACGCCACGGAAGCTTCACGAGAAGGAAGTCGTTCTGCTGAACCACGATGCCGGCACATTCCACACGCACTGGTATGACGCAGCTCTTCTTTGGGTTGCCAAAGCTGAAAATCATGCCCAAGCGGCACTCATGGTGGCGGCCGACCCCAACGCGCCGCCGTCAGAGCCGGCCCGCAGCCTCGACACGCCGTCGTCAAAGCCGGCCCAAGGCACGCCGCCGTCAGAGCCGGCCCGCAGCC